TTCTTTTTTTGTTGAGAAGAGGCTTCTTCCACTGTTTTCTGAACGGCCTCGACGTCCTCTGAACTCAAAACAATGACATGGAAATCAGGACGGGCAACTTCAGTTTCTTTCTCAACCTCCCGAGGTGGAGAATGAGTAACAACCACCAACTCGGTATTCGCCTCGGGAAGGGGCTCAACAACAGGCTCACTGACAGGGGCCGGTACCGTGACCGCAATTGGTGTACCCGACGTGACTCCAATATCATCACCCGTCGCGGCACGGCCCGTAACAGCTTTCTTCTTCAAATTTGCCAAAAAATTCATGCGACCCATCTCGGTATCTTTCACTGAAAATCTACGGCGATAATCTTTTGCTTCTCGAACCGATTGGAATCCGAAAAATCCTAACAACGGATAATAAACTGAAGAAGGAAAGCAAATAGTCAAAACCATATCAATGTTTGATAAATTCATCTAGTCCAAAGCCATGAATTGAATTGATGCTGTAAGAACTCACCAGGTTCAAAGTCAGGGATTGCCTTTTTGGGTCCGAGTTTCACTTCGGCAAGCTTGGCGTTCTTTGTCAGCAGATTCCACTTGCGATCCGCTACACTGAGTTTTGCGATCTCCTCAAGTTTTTCTCTAAACTCCCCGCTTAATTTCGGTTCCATTTTTCTTTTTGCTACAAATACGAAAAGGTCCGACCTGTTAGCGAAAGAAAAACAACCTGTCAGGAAATTCTGAATGAAAGAAAAGAACTTATGGAAAGAAGAGACAACTCGGGTTGGGACAGTCATCCCATCAATTGGAGCCTCAAGTCGGAAGTCGGGAGACTGCCAATCTCCACCAACCCACAACCATTCGTCCTGAAAGCCATGAAGGGTTTCAGGTATCCCAGTAACCAATTGTCCTATCTTCAATTCGTACTGCGGCCTCGCCGCACAGAAAAAGCAACCCGTTGGAGGAACTCCATCCCGCTCCCTACTCCTCTTAAAGAACAGAATGCTTCTCATCTCATCAATGGTAGGGAAGGGGATTTTCTTCTGTGCTAAAAGGACCATAATCCCAATAATCTTTTTCCAGCTATTGGGAGTAATCTGGCTGAGACTGAGACCCTAATCGCGCAGATAGTCGGTTATGACGTTGTCTAGAGGGAATCTCAGGCCCGACCTCAGACTTTCAGCAAAAATCCCTATACAACCCGGAGGAGGACAGTGAATCCTTTTCCCCGGATAGGGAGCGAAAATCCTCACCGAGGTAGGGATTCGTACCCACTCGCGGAGGAGAACTACGTCGGCGTCGGTCATGGTACTGGGTTCCCCCAAAAACGGAACATCTTCGTCGGGCCATTGACGGGCAGGACGATTCCAATAACCCGACCTCACAGGAACATCCCGTTCCACCTCGGCATCTCCTTCAATATCACGTTTGCGAATATCCAGACGTTCCACGAAAACAGGGTCCCACCGGTAATAATCCCCCATTAACTCCATCAACTCCTCATCTAACCTCAAGTCTGATACAGTCCGACTGCTACTGCCCGGACCGACGTTCTCACCACTCGCCGCCATAATTAAAGCTCAGAAAAATGATGCAAAGGAATTATAAAGTGAAAAGAAGAAATTAGGGCTTACCGAAAAGTGATGTAAACTCTCAAAGGTTTCGGGATTTGCCGAAATACGATGAAAAAGGTGAAAGAGGAAAGGCAAAGTATGAAAGAGATAGTTAGAGAACCAAATAGTTGCTTGAATGAAGATTCGGTGGAGAGAAACTGTGAACTTTTCTATATATATATACTCGGGATTTTCTAACCGTTGGAGATGGAGAGGCGCGTGATTAATTGACGCGTCGCTTGAGAGAAGTGTCCCTTTACTGTGTCATAACGTTCAGATATAATCTCATACGTACGCGTGTCCCAAAAAACCGCCAACGTTAATGTCCGGAAATTTCGGTACGTGCTTATCGCGAAGAGTAGTGGAGACACCACGTTTGTGACCTATCGTAAACCGTACAATAAACTTCTCACAGTACAGAACGCCTTTGGTAAAGGAACCAAACTATATGATTCTTGTCTAAGGAAAGTAACTCGGCATAAACTCGCGAAAGAGACCCTTAGGTCAGCTCAGGAATAAAAAGCAATTGGATGGAAAGTGTCATCAAAAAGTATGCATAAATTGCATACTTCTTAATGCCAGGGGCCTCTATGTTGATATCAAGATAGAATATCTTGATGTTATGATTCAATTAAAGAAATCGCGAAGATTAATGCATAAACTGGATTCTGGACGACGTCAAGCAGTACACGTTGCATCTCGGTAATCTCACCTCGATACCCGTAAATGATACCACAGAATTTTCGGAAGTCATCAACACAAGTCGTCTGAACCTTGAAAAAGGCCAATTCGGTCAAAGAATTATTTATTAAGAAGTCGTAGAATATTAAAGGTCTGTCAAAATACCGACTTCGCAAGACGAACCGAACTCATTCCGACAGATGTGACACTCGTCACACAGATAGAGGCGCGTCCATGCTAATCATTGCCTAAAAAGTTCTTTTACGTCATCGCCGCCCCTAGAATGTCAAATCTTCATTAAAACGGGAATGATTTGTCTAGGGATGTGTGCCAAACATACCTATAAATAGCAGTTCCAAAAGCGAGAGAAGGGTTCGAAAAACGATCATACACACTCATATATTCAGCTCGGCTATCTCATTGTAAACCGACTTGAAATTCATTGAAAAACCGACCTCCCTGTATTAAAACCGACTTCAAAATATTCAATAAAATTCTCATTTTCTGCAATCTTTTGTGTTAATTTTACATTGTTAACGTTGATTAAATCCGTTTATCAACAGCTAACATACCAAAATTTCAGTATTGCACTTTATATATCAGTACATTGCACTTTATACAACAATGTGTTGCACTTTTTAACATATAATATTGCACCTTATAAAAAAACACGCTTTCATACAAAAAAATACCGTAATTATGATAATCGATCCAATAATATTGGTTGGTTTAGTGTCGGATTTAGTTTTTAAAATATACAGAGTAACCGAATGTATACATTAGTGCACTTTATATATCGAAATGTTGCACTTTATGAAACAACACGTTACACTTTGTCACCACATTCACAGTTAATGTCATCAGCTCCCGCCAAAATATTACGCAATATAAATCTAAAAAACGGATCAACATAATAATTTAATATCCATTATATCATTTGTACACATAAAGAAAAAAAAACACATGTATGCTAACGTACTAAAATTCCAGTATTGCACTTTATATATCCTTAAGTTGCACTTTATAGAACAATATGTTGCACTTTTTAACGTATCATGTTGCACTTTATAATAACTAAACATGCCAAACTATATAAAAAATATTACCAATTTTTATATATAGTTTTTTTTATATGAAAAATAATACTATTTTTTATCAGATTGCACGTTAGTGTTAGACGGATTGCACCTTAGTGACTGACAGCTTGCACTATAGCGATTGAACCTCACCAAATTCCTTTTTTTGTGTTCGATCAAATAAACTAATTAATTTTGTTCGGTTTTAATTTGGTATGAAACAAAATATCGATCGGTTCAAACATTTAATTATGCATATACTCACTAAATATTTAATTGTGCATATACTCACTAAATAAAATGCACGATATTTAATTGTGAATAAATAAAAATTATTTAATTGCACAATAATATAATAATTTATTAATGTGCATATACCCACTAAATATTGTGCATTTTATTTATTGTTATTGTGCAAATACTCAAACTAATAATTTATTAATGTGCATATACTCAATTTTAACATCCCATGTGTAACATATAAAAACTTAAAAAAATTGCAAATAGGCCCACCATTTTTGTCCAATTTCCAAAAAAAGAACCCCAAATTAATGTCAAACATTCACAAATCAAATTAACATTCACAAATCAAATTAATCGCTGCAACTATTCCGGCCGTCACTTCTGGCAGTGCTGCCACCGCCGCCGCCGCCTCCTCACATACTGAGCGCAGAGTTCAGTCGGTCGGCCAATCCTTTCGCCGTTGCCGCTGACGAGCTCGAGCCTCCTTCTTTGATTTTTCTGAAATCTGCACATATTTTCGTCGGAGAACGACCGCCGCCACCACCGGGAGATGAGGGACACGATGCCGACGGACGCTGTGGCAGACATGGTTGCGCGGCGGAGGGTCCTCTGTGCTCGATCTCCGGCGATTTCAGCCGCCTCTGCAAGGATGACGAGACGTGAAGGCAGGGCTGGAGGTGACGTTGGTTGGGGGCGGCGGCGACGGGATCGGACGGCCGGTTGCCGGTGAAGGGCGGAAGACGGCGGCTGCAAGGTGGTGGTGCCGATTGATTGTGTGTGTGCGTGTTCTCTGCGTGTGTGTGTGTTCTCTGCGTGTGTGTGTGTGTTAGATTTGATTGTGAGAGACAAATAGGGTAATTGTGGTGGGTGGGTGTGGTGGGACCCATTTGTATATTTAATGTCTCATTTACCCTTATTTAGTGGTCAAATGTGTAATTTGACCAAAATATGTATGTAAAATTACCATATTATCATTAATGATTGACCATAGTTTGACTTCATCATAACCACTAATATGTTGGATCTAATGATCCACAATCATTCTCATTTTCTCGCATTAAGAGTCATTCTTATATGATCCCTTTTCTATATATATATATATATTATATTAAACTATTATAATTCAATGATAAAAATTAATATTAATATTTTTGCATAATTGATACTTTTGCACTACTTTTATATGAGTCTTTATTATTTTTGTGCTATGCATATTAAAATTTTTTCTAATCTCCGTGAGACCGAAAATACGTTATTCAAGGAACAAAACAACTCAATTTTTAATAATTGCTAAAAAAAAATGACACTCAGCCTGCGTCAATTGCCGTACGTGTCCAATTTTCATCAGTCAAATAACGTGGAATTTTTTTTTTTTTTTTNATTTATAACTTTTCCTTGTCCATCTCCACGACGGGAAATTTTTACCCAACCTTATAGCGCAAGAAAACGTCTCCCAGTTCATATTTAAGCTTTTGCAGAGTTTCAGAAAATTCATCCGATTAATTTTTCAGTCTCTGCAATTCATCTGTTTGAAGTCTACAAAAATCAGGTAACACAGTAACTCCTCAGTTGATTTCATGCGTCATAATGTTTTTCTTCAATCGTTTGGTACGATTAGGGTTTATACTTCATTGGATCTAGCATTGAATTTCGCTTCGTAATTTTGCAGTATATCTTCTTTTTTGCGGACCCAATACGTGCCGCAAACTTTGATTGAGCTAAAACTGTATTGTGTTTGTTCTTCTTTCAGTTGTTGAAGGTTGGAATCTTTTGCCTTTTCTAATTTTTTTCTTTAAGTGCGCCTTGTTACTGGATTTTTTCAACACTAGATAAATTCTGAAGTGGTAAATTAGGCGTTTTTAATTCAGGCTCACAGCTATGAAAATATAGTATAAGTTTTTGGTTTTGGGAAGCTGTTGATTGTTTTCTATTTGAGCGGGTCTGCGGGTAAGCTTTACAATTTTTTGCTAATATGAATTATATTATTGTTTATAGGAGACGATGATGAAAATTGATTTTGGTGGGCTCTATCCCTCGGCACCTATAAAGGGCAATAGGGATGATTTGCATGATGAGATTTCAGCTCCACCATCTTTCAAGCTTCCTACTACTGTTGATGTGAGTTTAGCTGTTTTTTCTTAAAAAATATATTAGTTTGGTTTTTCACCTATATTACTTAACGAGATGATAGGTGAGTTAATTTTCTTTTCTCTTCCTTTTAGTTTGATGGGTTTTAGAAAGCTGCAGTATAAATTCAGCCAAAAAAATATCATTTTTAACTCAACCACTTTTTTTAGCTCAACTTTAACTCAATCCCACTATAGTTAATATTATCAATATAATAAATTTATATTAGTCAATCATTCTTACACACAATATCAACCTTAATTCATTATTCATTATTCATCAACTCACATAATTTTAACTAACCATCACATCACATCTTCTCTCTCTTACTTTTACATCAATTTAATTTAATCATTTTATTTTGAATATTATTTTAATATATTTACTAACAACTAACCATACCAACTTTTTTAAATTTAACCAACTCAAACCAAAAATCTAATCGAAACAAAAAAAATTTATATCCAAGCATGCTCTAAGCTATTACAAATATTATTAACTAACACTCATTAGCATCATTTCAGGTCTCAACTGCATCTAGTTGGAGTTCGAGGAGTAGGAATTCTGCTTCTGACTATAAATACGATGACCAAAACCAAAGCAATAACTGGAACCACCACAGAAGCTCCAGCAGATCAACAAGGCATAGATATGATTCTGACAGAGAAGGGAGGACCCCGAGAGAGAGATCCCGTGGTGAAGAAAGAGAACACAGTGCAGACTATGGACGAAAGAGAAGTAGATACGAAAGAGAACAAAGTGTTGCCACCTCACATTTTTGCATCATGGCTCGTGTCATTGCAGGCAGATCTGACTGGGACAACGGACGATGGGAATGGGAAGATACACCACATCGTGAAGGCCGCAGTTCGGGAAGCAGAGACCACCGTCATTGGCCGTCCCCCAAGTTTGTTGGGGCATCTCCTGATGCAATGCTTGTTTCCCCGTGGTTGGGTGGGCGTACTTCCTCTCCTGGTAGGTGAAGTAACTATGGATGGTTATTTTAGGTGAATTTTGACTCATGGCTAATTAGTATTTTGAATATTCTGAAGCTCCTGCGTCTCCTTGGGACAGCTTTGCACCTTCGCCCACTTCGATTCGAGCTTCTGGGTCCTCCGTTAGGTCTGTGGGTTCCCGATATGGTGGCAAGTCAAATAAGTTCAACTCCTCTCTGGATAAGCTTGAGGTATTAAGTCTCTTCAAAAAATCTTTTTATGTTGTCTTATGTAACTTATATTCAAAATTTGGTGCCATTTTTATAAAACTTGACAGATTTTTCTTCTTTCTGTTCCCATTTGGCTGGTTCAAGGATGGAGAAAATGGCGTGGATAAATTACCAGAAGACCAAGATCATGATATATCAGAAAGTATGCGGTTAGAGATGGAGTACAAGGCTGATCTTGCCTGGTAATCATCTGATTATACTTCGTGATCTATAGCCAGTGGTTGTTGCTTTCAGTATATTTAGTAATTTAAAGAGAGGGATTTGTCTAAAGTGCTTATCGTGACCTGAAAAGAATGCTGGTACATAAAATGAATCTATTCAAAGAATGCTGATATAGCCAGTGGTTGATCCCAAATGCTTTATGTTGACCTTATATCGAATTGTATATCTCCTGTCACAGGTATGATCGGGAAGAAGATGGCAATGTGTATGGTGATGATAGCTTGTCATCTTTTCTCGGTAATGAGGCATCTTTTCAGAAAAAGAAAAAGGAGGCTGAGCTGGCTAAAAGACTGGTATGATTTTCCACATGGCTCTAGTTTGAGATGGTTTAGTTGATTAGGCTGGGGCTAATTTCCATCTTGAGTATACTTTTTTGTTAATATTGTGTAAACTCTTCATTGAGTTCTTGTGTCTGCCAACTTTTCCAGTCCTTGTATATGCCACTGGAATTAACTGTTGCCGAAAAATGGATTCTATTTTTTTATGAATTTACTCGTCCATGCCAGTTTCGGGACTTGTGATTATGTCCTTACACTCTCGAACATGAAATGGTATTATCCATGTCAAACTGCAGTGCCGTCTCTTAAGATTTTCTAGACGTATGAACTTACAGTCTTGTGCCTGTGCGTTGCACTTAAGTACTTATTTAATATGGTCCTGTCCCAAAACTGATATTTTATTTGCCTCTAAATTAATATCCATCTTTGATAACAGGTACGTAAAGATGGAAGCCAGATCACTCTTGCACAGAGCAAGAAATTATCACAGATGACTGCCGATAATGCTCAATGGGAGGATAGACAAGTGTTGAGATCGGGAGCTGTTAGAGGAACTGAAGTGCAGACCGAGTTCGATGATGAGGAAGAACGAAAAGTTATTCTTCTTGTGCATGGTAACTCCCTTAATAGTCCTTTAAACTGTTTGATGACCTGATTTGCGCCCTTGTTAATTAAAGAAAAAAAAAAAATCTCACTCTATTATATCAGATACAAAACCTCCTTTTCTTGATGGAAGGATTGTTTACACCAAGCAAGCCGAGCCCATTATGCCATTAAAAGACCCTACATCAGATATGGCCATAATAGCACGGAAAGGCTCGAATTTGGTTAGGGAGATCCATGAAAAACAGAGCATGAACAAGTCACGGCAACGTTTTTGGGAGCTCGCTGGTTCAAAGTTAGGTGAAATTCTTGGGGTTGAGAAAACTGCAGAACAGGTATATGCTGCTCCCATAATTTGAATGAGTTATTGTGATGATGCTGTAATTTGTCTTAATTTTGAGCAGGAACACATCTTAATGTTTACCTTTTTTCATTGATTTACTAGATTGATGCAGATACTGCTAAAGTGGGTGAAGAAGGTGAAGTTGATTTCAAAGAGGACGCAAAATTTGCGCAGCATTTAAAGAAGGATGAGGCAGTGAGCGATTTTGCTAAATCGAAAACGTTAGCCCAACAGCGGCAGTATCTGCCCATTTTCTCTGTACGAGAGGAGTTACTTCAGGTTTGCAACAATGTCTTTTTTATCCACGAATAGCTAACATATAGCTAGGTGACAAATATTTATGATGTTAGATGTCTGGTTATGTTTATTGAGAAAGTAGGGGTATTATATTATATACATCCGATGATTTGGTTGGATGGCAATCATAATTATGTTATATTGTTCTCTCTTTCTTTTGTTATTCTTTCTCAACACAAATCAATCTATTTTCCTATTTGGCATAGTAAATAATGTTTCTTGTATCTCTGCCTTATCCTTTACCATTTTCTGTCAACTGCATTGCTTTTGTTCTTGCTGAAAGAGGGTGCAAAGGAGTTATTCGGAATTGTTGTTGCTAATTTTATCCTTCTCAAATGTAGGTGATCCGTGAGAATCAAGTGGTGGTAGTGGTTGGTGAAACTGGTTCAGGGAAAACAACACAACTAACCCAGGTTTGTGGCTAGACATTCTTTCTGCATTTTCTTGGGGGGAAAAAAAAAAAAGAAAGAAAGAAAATATTGGTCAGTAGTAGTGATTGTTGGTTGACTGATGTGCAGTATCTTCATGAGGATGAGTACACAAGCAATGGCATTGTTGGTTGCACTCAGCCACGTCGTGTAGCTGCCATGAGCGTTGCCAAAAGAGTCAGTGAGGAGATGGAAACTGAACTTGGCAATAAAGTTGGATATGCAATACGTTTCGAGGATGTCACTGGGCCCAACACTGTCATTAAGGTACAACATTTTATTCAATCTATCTTTTAGGGTTTAGGTTGTTCGAATATATTTATTTAAAAGCTTTAATTCTCATAGCTCTTGTAAAGTCGTCTAGAATTGTGAACAATTTTTGTTAATTGCTTATTCGTCTTTCTTTTGCAGTACATGACTGATGGTGTGCTTCTGAGGGAGACTCTCAAAGATGCTGACCTGGAAAAATATCGGTACGTGTTTTATACTCCGTGCATCAACGTCATTTAACGCCTGGACATGAATTTATCCTTTCTTACACATTTAAGCTTGATTCAATCCTCGTTCTTCTCAGCGTTGTTGTGATGGATGAAGCACACGAAAGATCCCTAAGCACAGATGTCCTATTTGGCATCCTTAAGAAAGTCGTCGCCAGACGCCGTGACTTCAAGCTCATCGTGACATCAGCCACCCTTAATGCCCAGAAATTCTCTGATTTCTTTGGGAGGTAATAAATAAATTAATAATCCCTCCTTTCGGTCGGTTAGTTACAAGGNGGAAAAAAAAAAAAAAAAATGGCTTCACTAATGTCAGTCCTACTATTTCTCCCTTTGTGTTGTGTAGTGTACCCATATTCCACATCCCGGGACGAACTTTCCCGGTCGAGATCCTCTACAGCAAAACGCCCTGCGAAGACTACGTAGAAGCTGCCGTTAAACAAGCCCTAACAATCCACATCACCAGCCCCCCTGGCGACATACTCATCTTCATGACGGGCCAAGACGAGATCGAGGCCACGTGCTATGCCCTAGCCGAGCGCATGGAGCAGCACGCCACCAAGAAAGAAATCCCGAAGCTTTTAATCCTCCCCATCTACTCCCAGCTCCCGGCCGATCTCCAGGCTAAGATCTTCCAGAAAGCCGAAGGTGGGGCTCGAAAGTGCATCGTGGCCACAAACATTGCCGAGACATCCCTCACCGTCGATGGAATCTTCTACGTAATCGACACCGGTTACGGCAAGATCAAAGTGTATAACCCGCGCATGGGCATGGACGCCCTCCAAGTTTTCCCGGTTAGTCGGGCTGCGGCAGACCAGCGGGCTGGACGAGCGGGCCGCACAGGGCCCGGAACTTGCTACCGCCTCTTCACCGAATCTGCCTACCTCAACGAGATGCTCCCGAGCCCTGTCCCTGAAATCCAGCGCACAAACCTCGGCAATGTTGTCTTACTTCTCAAGTCCCTCAAGATTGAAAACCTGCTCGATTTCGACTTCATGGATCCTCCCCCGCAGGAGAATATCCTCAATTCCATGTACCAGCTCTGGGTTCTTGGCGCGTTGAGCAATGTCGGTGATCTAACCGACCTCGGCTGGAAAATGGTCGAGTTCCCGCTCGACCCGCCCCTCGCCAAAATGCTTCTGATGGGCGAAAAACTCGGATGCCTTAACGAGGTTTTGACCATCGTATCCATGCTTTCGGTCCCGTCGGTTTTCTTCCGGCCCAAGGATCGGGTTGAAGAAAGCGACGCTGCTCGGGAGAAATTCTTGGTGCCGGAGTCCGATCACCTGACGCTACTCAACGTGTACCAGCAGTGGAAAGGTAAGCAGTACAGGGGAGATTGGTGTAACGACCACTTTTTACACGTCAAGGGGTTGAAAAAGGCTCGGGAGGTGAGGTCACAGCTGCTCGACATACTTAAAACGCTTAAAATCCCGCTCACATCATGCGGGCCCGACTGGGATGTCCTGCGAAAGGCTATATGCTCGGCTTATTTCCATAACTCTGCTCGGCAGAAAGGTGTTGGGGAGTATGTAAACTGTAGGAATGGGATGCCGTGTCATTTGCACCCGAGCAGTGCTATATACGGGCTGGGGTACACTCCGGATTACGTGGTGTACCACGAGCTGGTGCTGACGAGCAAGGAGTATATGCAGTGTGCGACAGCTGTCGAACCTCAGTGGCTGGCGGAGCTTGGGCCGATGTTTTTCTCGGTTAAGGACTCGGATACGTCGATGCTGGAGCATAAGAAGCAGCAGAAGCAGGAAAAGACGGCTATGGAAGAGGAGATGGAGAGTCTGAGGAAAGTGCAGGCGATGAGAGAGAAGGAAGGGAAGGAGAGAGATAGGGCCAAGAGGGAGAAGGAGCAGCAGCGGGTGTCCATGCCTGGGTTAAAGTCGACTTATTTGAGGCCCCCCAAGAAACTGGGTTTGNAGCCATGGGTATTGGGTACCTTTCTTTTTGAAGTTGCTATGGGTTATTTCAAGCAAAAACAGGCTTGTACTATGTAATTCTTGTGCTGTCTGGAAATTCAACATCTGTGTTTCTGTCCAAAACTCAAAAAAGTGCACCTCCCGTGAACTATGTTTTTTTAATTTTTCCAAGGGTGTATGTATTCTAGTTTGTTTATGGCTTATTCTTCCCAGGTAGAGTCAGAACTATGTTGGTTTGTATGAAAAGAAAAGTAAACAGAAAAAGTGAAACAAGAAAAAACAAAAAGAATGGTGCAGATTTGCAGGCACATTGATCAGCAAACTCATCAATTTCGTTCAAGAAATACACTTTCTGCAAGAAATGTGATCACACACACACACACACTCACACACACCTTTTCTTCTTCAGTTCTCCCTTTTAACTATCCCTTTTTGCTGAGAGAGGCTCACAGAACAAAACCAACCACATGTACAGTTGGAAGAAAAAACATTTGAATCAACTCAAAGCACATCCAATTGTATTTACAACACATTTTTACATATATATATCTACTATATATAGTTAAAAGAAGCATCCATCTAATGATTTATTTAAACCAATTTTTCCATCTTTTTTCTGCAAACATGTCAAGCTTCAATTGTAACTGCACAAAGACACAAGCTCGTCGGCTTTATCTCGTAACCTGGGCCCGCCTCCAGATCGTACGCCAACGTGTATCTCCTCGTAATGAAAACAACAATAGCTGTCCATCCAAAACCCCAAATAGAAACCCGACACTCGAGCACGGGAACCGAGACCATCTTCCAAGAAGAACTCTTCTCAATCGCTAGCCTGCGCTCGTTTTTTCCACTCCATGCAACAAATCTTGCTCCCGAGCACTGCGTGTGACGTCACCATGACAGACCTGTTCTTCATCTGGCAGTTTCGGGGTCGATTATCCTCGAATTCCCGATGCAGAAGCTCGACCTCACGTAAAGCTTTCCCCCGACCCCACACGCGAAGCTTCCCCAACAAGGCCGCTCGATCACCGTCCACCTGTCGCGTTCCGGTTCGTACACCTCAGCGCTCGACAGGGTGGGCCCCACGCCCTCCGACCACGCCGTTAACCAAAGTCGTGGCGGGGGATGTTCGTTCTGGCGCCAGCTAGCAATTATTTGAATTGATTACAACGAATGAACGAATAACGATGCATCGTATTCGTATTCGTAAACATCTCCCGAATCTTAGTTGTGTAAGTTAGCCCTGCACATCAATGCAGTAAATGCACATGCATCCATAGGTGACTATGTTTGCTGGATGGCATTCCTTAATTGTATTGTCTATGGGCCACCTATATTCTTATTAACAGTAGTGGTCTGTATGCAGATTAATATGTTGAAAATGGATCTCAGTCCTTAGTATAACTAATTAATCAGTACAACTACTTCAAATTATTAGTATATTATACTCATTCAACCATAATCACAAGTACAACTACTTGTTCTGACAGACATTGTGTAAGAGACCATGGGAAGTGCTTTTAATCCACACATTCTAATCACACTCGTGCATTTTTCTCATTATCCAGAATAGCAGGCGCAAGGGTGCCGAGTTTGTTGCTGAATTCTGGAAGGTTCCTTCATGATATGATTGAAAATGGAGATGAGTTTGGAAAAAATGCTGCCTTGCGCTTGGTATGTCTAATTTACTCTTGGTGACCTTAGTAAATGAAAATTCAAAAGGTGGTTGAAAATCAGGGAAGAAAGGTTTCATCTGATTTAATTTTATTTGTATATATTTGAAATATGTTGAATAGCAGCATTTAAGAATCCGAATGAATTTGATGTGGTATACTTTGTACTCTTACTTGTTGAGTTTGTGAAAAGGCAATTAGATAACAATAATAGAAATTTGAAACATGCTGCATCCAAATCAGTAGTGCTGTCGATTTTTTTCTTTTTGTTATTATTGTTTCTGTTTGTGGGAAATTTGAATTAGGCCATGTCTGACTGTAGTAGTATGAGTATCACCGGAGAGTAGGGTTAGTGGTGGTTGGGTAATGGGGATGAGGATTACAAGAGTGTTTTGATTAAAGCTTTCCTTGGGATTGTTTTATACTTTAGTGTCAAGGGTTTTGGAACTGGATTTTTTCTTTTTCTTTTTTCAGGGACTTGATGGTAAATATGGTATTTTTACAAAACTGTAGTTTGCAGGTGTTTGTAATTGAGTTTCACCTAATTTGATGTTTCTTATGGAGTTGAGAATGTAGTTTCCTGATTAGCATTTTTTTTTCTTTGCATATGAACTTGATTAGGTTCTTTATATCCTATATTATTTTCATTTTTTTTTTTCCTCTTTTTGGAAATTGTGTGGGGTGGACAAGTGGGGTAATTTATATAAAAACAAACAAAAAAACAAATGGACACAAATAAAAGCAAAAAAAAAAATCTGGACCAAAATCAAAAGTTAGTATTCTCAGAATACGTTTTCTTTATAAATTTCATTGAAGAACGTATTTTCAACATACGTTTTTCAATGAAAAACGTATTTTCAGAATACGTTTTTCAAAGAAAATTACATGAAAAACGTATTCAGAGAATACGTGCTTTTGATTAATTTCCACAACTTTTTTTTTTGTTTTGTTTTTGTCCAGTTAACTTATAATTTTGTTTTTGGGTAAAAAAATCGTGAACAAGTGTAGTGGAGATTCAATTATATCCTAGTAAACTCTTTATGTTTAGTTATAATTACTTTTTCTTTTTTCTTTTTTTGTTAACTGTTTGGAAATTATAGAGGAAAAAAAATGATACATAATGAGTAGTAGTATTTTTTTTAAAGAAAATGTTTCAGTTATTGTTTTAACGAGATTAATATTGAGGGAACAAATATAAATAAAAATTAATTTTGTATACCCTGGCTGACTAAATATAGAAGATGTGTAGAAGCTCAAGTCGAAGAAAGAGATAAAAACTAAAAATTCTTTTCTACTTTCTATTTATGAGGTTTTGGACCGGTGGTGCCTAGAAATACAGTCAAGGTTCACTGTTATCGACTTTGTTGGAGAGTGTAGGGAAGCCAGGTACACATCAAATTAATTAAAAAATTGAGACTTATGTCCCACGAAATTAAATTCACAAATTAATTCTTGTTAATTAAGTTAGAAACTATGTCCCCCAAAAGTAAATTCACAATTCTCGTGTAAGTCAGTTTTACTGTTAAACTACTCGTTTGCATACTTTATGAATAAAAATGTATGTTTTGACTATCAAGTATCACACTTCTGTTTATGCTGTTTATTATAGTTATAATATTTTCTAATGAACTTATGTATAAATGAGTATGTAAGATGAGTATGACGGCCCATCACGAAAATTTAAATGAAGATGGGAATTGGTATTGTTTTAGGTTAATATTTTTAATATAGTATTGAATACCTTGAGACTTTTAGACTTATAAAAAGTCTTTAAAAGTCCCAATTGAATACAGGTAAACTTTTCAGAAGTCTCTAAGAGCATCTCCAATGTAACTTTTGACATTATAAAAAAACATCCATATCATCAATTTTTGAAGGTGTGTTACTATTTTTTTCTCCAATGCATCTTATAATGAACTCTTTCATGATGAGGTGGATGTCATTTAATATTGACAATGTTGAGTACACTTTCTAATATCTAACACCATGTTAAACATGATGACTCATCAATTTACTTTATATTTGTTTTAATTTTTTATTTTTCTTGTATCAATGAATTATTTAATTGGTTCACTTATACAAATAATTTCTTATCAAATTGATGCATTGGAGATACTAGTTTTATTCAAATTTATAGTCTTTTAACATTATTCCAATGTGGATTAACATTACTATCACTAATTGACATGTGTTAAAAATAATGGTCTTTCAAACTCATAGCATTGGAGATGCTCTAAAAGTTCTAATTGAATACACCACAATTCTAAAGGTCTTAAAAAGTCTCTAAAAGTTGAAATTGAATATTGTCCTCGGTGTGATGCTATCTCGTTTTTTTTTTTTTGTGGGGGGAGGGGCCTCACTATTTTTGTTATATGACATGTCATTTAAGATTCATATGTCAATTCTTTGAACGTGGGAAACAAATAAATGAGAATTATTAGTAAATTTCATATAATTAAATATCATTTATTTAAAAATTTAATGAATATATAAACTACATTGTGAAATCCATATATCAATTACATACTAGAATCCTAACGGATGTCTAGAACAATTAAATATTGGATTGAACAAAATCATTCAAATGAACTATATTCAACCAAATACTAAAAAATAATAACAAAAAGGAGACAAAAAATTGCCATAACAGTTTAAAAAGACTTAAATAGTATATAATTTATTGATTTAACTAAACTTAATTTATTTTAGGCTAAAATATTATTACCATGTGACTAATCTGATTTAAAATGGGCTAAAACATTTTATACTCCTATAAATATAGGGAAGCCAAAAAATTAAGACCTTGTTGGAGCTCACCGGAGTATTTGGGTGGCTCCTTCCCTGACTTAGTGAAAAAGTTTGTCAGTGGACGGTGTAAAGACTTTAATATATCTTAATAGTGTTGATGAAAAAGTTTTTTTTAAAAAAAAAATAAATGGGTTTGTTTCAATTTTAACTCGGCTCTGTAATTGAGAAACTAAAAGTAATGCATAATCGAAATAAAAGAAGCTTCCAAATTTGATTGGCCACATTTAATGTTGACTTTTGGAAATAGTTTGACTTTTGGCAAGCGTCACTGATTCTCTCCCAGCGACCCTCTCAAACGTGGTTAAATTTTTATATGAATATCAACCATATAGAAATAATAATATTTAGTAGTTAGGTGCTTCATAATTCAAGGAAAGCCACAGGCTTTCAGCAAAAATATCCTAATGGCGCGTAGGAAAAACAAATTAAGACAATTGTACTATTAATCAATCTTATATGAATAGATAATTGCTATTTTGTACATATGTTATTTACGACTTCATGACTTGTAGAATGTATTGTTATTCAATCAATTTGAGTCGTCATTAAAAAAATTACGTTCGGCCAAAAAATATACTATAGCAACTCATTTCACATTAGATGCTTTTCATACTGAATGGTGAGATTGACACGAAAGAAGCTTTATGTGATCGGCGTTGGAATTGAGACTTCGACCTGAAGAAGAGGGTGCTAATTTGACTCTCAATAGTAAGCGGAAAGCCGATATGATCTTGGACAGAGGCTTGGTATTAATTGCATTCCATGTAAGCACAAATACAAATCGTCTAATCCTAATTTAAATCGACAGAAAATATGCATAACAAATATATTTTTATTTATTATTTCTCTATTGTCACCATATAAATTTAGTACATAGCTCATGCAATATACATGACATAAATATTAATGGAAAAGTCCAATAGGACACCAATCCATAGCCTAACAGTAATAGGGTTGAATCATATATTTTTTTACTTATTTTAATTGGTGGTTTTTTTTTTACCGTTAAATCTGAGCTCGTTAGAGGCTAAGTTGTAAGTTAACCATTATATTAGTCTGCTAACTCATTTACATTAGTATAGGTAAAAATTTAATAAATATATTTATTTTTTGATACAAAAAAGATTAATAATTTACTTACATAGGTAAAAATTTGCTAAATATATAGTTAATAAATTAATATGTTATAAATCAACAACACAGGACTATGATAAATACAAAATGTAATTTAAGATGAACAAAACGAAATTGAAACGGAATCAATGTTCACTTTTATTAAGCTTGCACGTTTTTCTCGTGTTTCTTGTGTCTATATTTTTACGTATTTTTCTCATGTCCTAACCTTGTGCAGTTTATTATAATATAAAATTTTATATTGGGTAAAAAGTGAAAATCATCGTGACTTCTTGATGGATCACTGTACACGTGGCACTCGTTCGATAGGTCAGTTATATGCAGAGTGATTAGTGACAACACATCTTTTTCGGATGAGGCATCTCTCCAATTCGTGGGTGGTAATCCATTTCACACTACATGGTGTCATCCGCACAAAGAAAGCTCTATTTGGGATGAAGTCGGCACAAAGGAAGCTTTGGATGGTCAGCGTCGAAATCGGGATTTCAGTCCTAAGAAGCACGTGCCAATGTGATAATGAAGAGTGAGAGTACCACGTCGTTGTGGTTTTTGAATGAATGGCGCTTGTATTCCACGTAAGCGTTAATATGGATCAATTACCAATAAATTCGTATCTGTCTGCAGAAAATATGAACACCAACAAATATGGCAGTAAAACTACTAGATTTTTTAGGAACGCATTTATCTCACTTCTAATGATCATTCATTGCATCGAATTTATGGTATAAAGGCTTTTTTTAATACTATGCATTTGACGTCGGTTGTATGTTCAACAATCCCGTTTTTAGTGTTTCATGATCATTTTAATGGTGTTAGAATTCTAAATTAATCCATATAAAATGTTAGTTGCTGAATTCAATTTCCATAAACACAGCCAATGAAATTTCACTGAAGTGTCTCGATTTCGGGTCAGATTAAGAAGTTGAATAAAGAATAAGATCCACCAGTCATGCACATGTTCCATGCTTCCATGACATTCTTGTTATATTTCACATTCTTAATCAACACAGACAACTTGTAGAAAGTTGATATATACAGTTCAAACAACTTGGAATCTTATTTCCGGAAAATATTGCCACCATATGATTCGAGTGGATCAAAACACACGTGACTAACATGATGAAATTAATTAGTCATTCTCATGGAGAATGAGGTTATAAATTTTTTGGAGTTTAATTGCAAAAAGATAAATGCATCGTTTGGTTGAGCTGATCCAACGATGCCTCTTTGGCATGAAAAAAGACTAATGCGGGATTTTACGGACTTTTCTATGTTTCATCTTTTTAATTTATTTGTTTATTTGTCTTGTACCATGGATTTGATTTTGTTCAATTTATTCATTACTTTATACTAGGTTTGCATAGTGCAATTTAATGGACAAGCATCCCACATTCCACAAGCAATTGGATCAAGCAAAGCGACTTATCTGGTACAGTGTCAAATAATACGGATGCGGGTTCGCGTTAAACCCGAAAATAAAGTACCAATAAGTAAAATAAGTAAATTAGGAAACTTTTTGCCCTAGACCACCAAATCATGTAGAGTTCAAACCTCAATAGGTCAAGGTCCTGATGAATATTCAGATCAAACAGCTATTCAAGTAGATGATGGATGAAAATTTAAAATAATAAACAGGTTAAGAAAAAAGCAGAATATACCAAAATATTACTTCATTTCTTTCTTCTCACTATCCTCTGATCGACAAAACANAAAAAAAAAAAAAAAAAAACATTCAGTTGAATGGGTATCCATTCCTATTTGGGAAGACAAATTCAAAACTGTCAAGACCCAGACTTTGCAGACGAGCAATGTAAGAACCCTATTTCTACTATCTTTACCCAAACTTTTTTCGTCTCAAAGTAAAAGCTAAGGACCGCGAGAGTGACAAACGGTCATCATCGCAAGTGATCACCAGAATAGATAATCAGTTATTCCTATCCAGCAAAAGGGCAAAAAAACCTATATTAATCTTTTTAAATATACTTTGCTACCAGCAAACACACGTCGACCAAGAAAACAAAAGATCAGACTTCGCATTTCAAAACAAGGAACTCTGCACATGCTCAAGATTCCAGCTTAGAATCAGGAATTTCGTTGTTAACCTTAAGTTGTGATTCCAGCGGCAACATAAATTTTAGCTTCACGCCTTGCAGTATTTTGAGGGACGGTTTTGAATTGACGTACTGCAAAAGGCACAGGGACAATTAGTGTCAGTAAGTAGTACAGTTGTCGCATTTGCAACAAGTTGAAAGAAAAAATAAAAGATATTTAAAAAATTAAAAGAAAAAAAAATCTAATTTAATCGCTCCGTCAATGTAATTATCATTGGAATGGTAATCTTTTCTCTTTCTTATAATCTATATCTATATATATATAATTACTGGCTCATGAACATTTAATTTTACCTATTTAATACAACCTCTAATTTTTTCCCGCCTAAAGCCGTTACCAAAAAATATTTTCCTTTTACTTTTTATCATACATTAATTAATACTTATGTCAAACATCAATGACACTAGTATTCGAACATGTGCATTTGCACAGATGTAAACAAAATTAAATATTATAAGTTATATTTATGTATATAATATAAAAATTATAAGTTATATAATTGTATTATATTTCAAACATATAATATTATAAGTTATATTATGTATATAATATTAAAATTATAAATTATATAATAGTATTATATTTTAAAATTTGATCATTGGTTAAAATAAATAGTACACACGATTTGATTGTATACGAATCACTATATTGATTGCATAATATGTAATAAATATATACTTTTTATAATTTTGAGTGATCATGACCAATTAATTAGCTGAAAAATATTACATTTATTATAACAATTGCTTATGTGATTTTAAGAAATTTTACTATGACATAAAAAAAAATTAATTTATTAATAAACAACCGCTTCATCATATAAAAAAATATTGATTTTAGTATAAAATATAATTTTATGTAACTTTCATATATTATTTAGGTTCTATTTATGCCACATAAATGTATAAAATATAATTTTTAATGAGATTGGGTGTATTAATGCCACATAAATAAAATTTATTAGGTTCTATTTATTAGGTTTTATTAATGATTTGCCACACAGGTAAAATTTATTAAGTTTTATTTATTAGGTAAAATTTATTGCTTAGCTAGCAATTATATATATATAGATTTGTAAATTAAGGCCTGTATTTATTGAATGCGAGTTCACTAGGCCCGCACTATCATGCAGTCCCCCTACGTTTATTAGTCCAACACTATTGCACAACCATAATTTGATATATTTTTCCATCTATATATCTATGTAATTGTTGGCAAAATATTTAATAAACTTATTTAATGTCCCTCTATTTTCAGTTATAAAATTTATCATTAATATTTTTTTACTTCTCACATTAATACATCCTATTGAGTGTAATCATGTATTTTTGTTATTATATTATATAATAGTTAATGTTAACACCAACTAACAATAATTCACAATAAATATAAATTACATAATTATAAACAATTCTATTGTTTCAAGTTATTTATTTTAACATCAATATTATCTTTTTTATTTTGGGGTATCTCATGAAACAATTTTCTTTAAAAACAATTAGTAAATAGTTTTAATAGCATAGTCAAACAACTTTAAAATTTTATAAACTATTAATTTTGTAGTAGTAATAATAATAATAATAATAATAATAATAATAATAATAATTTCAACTAAATTATTTTACCATGATCCCTCCAAATTATAAAAATTACATTATCCACAAACTTTTTTCAATCAATATAGTGATTCCTATGTACTCAAATAATTTATATTTATGTTATTTTATTTTTCCTAATGATCAAATCTTGAAAATGTGATATGTTCATTATCTAGAATTTTAATATTAAATTCGCAAATATTACTTATAATAATTTAGAGAAATGCTATAAGTATATAATATTGTACATAGGGGTGTACATAATACTCACATGGAGTGGGACTTAAGTAGATCTCACTCCATTTGAGTATTATGTACACCTCTATGTATATTTATTATGTACATGTAGCATTTCCCAATAATTTATGTACATATATGCATGTGCACAGGATGATTACTAGTTACAATAACAGCTAAGTGCCTATTGAAACCAAGTACATCATCCGAGAAATCTTAACGGGATCCCCATATGGATACGCAATTTTCATTAAATAAAAGCATATGTTAATCAGCATTTTAATTTAGAAGGTAATCAATTTATCCAACTTAACCCTGGGATGGTATTCTTTCATATTTAAAAAAAATAAAATAAAATAAACAAAATGAACTCAATAAAATTACCTTAGTTAAATCCTTGTAGAAAGAACTTATTTCCTCATCAGTAAGTCCACCCTCTTCATCATTCTCCTCCCATCCCAAAGAGCGTAAAAAAGCAGCCTCTTCCTCCTCTGATATAATCGGATCACAACTCTGCTGCTTCTTGCCATTGACAAAATACTTGTTTCCATCAACATTGCACCTCTCGGCTTTCTCCTCATGCATGGCCTCCAGCTCAGCATTCTTATCCAAACCAGGGCCCACAGGAGACGATGAGTTTGCCATATCTGCAGCAGGGGAAGGGCTCTCCATAGACTTCTTTCTCATGAGATTAAAGAAATCATTGCGGCTTCGGGCCTGGGAAGTGGGCCTCTTCTCCAGCACTGTCATTACGGGCTTACGGTCCGGCAGCAACTGGGCCGGGCCCAGTGGAGAGCCCGCTGCTGCTGCTTTGGCACCGCTTGTTGGGCTCAGATTGTCATTCATGACAGGGGAAAGACCGTTTTTATCTCTTGCAGGCTTGAGAACGTGAAGCTTCCCTACAGTGGGTGATGCTTTTTGAACGTCGCCCTTTGATAGCCCACCACGAGGCGAAGAAGATGATATGGGATGGTGATGTGGCGGGCCCACTTTACTTTTCTGCTTATCCGAAGAATTCAACGCCTGGAGCAAATTTAATGAGTATATTTACAACAAAGGCAGTATTCTCTCAATATCAACAAGTGTCACCATAATGCCAGAATAAAACCTCAAGGAGAAATCAAGTCAATATTGCGATTAGAGCTTTACAAGAGACGTTTTGCAATTTTCTTGATGAGATCTTCTGAGTAGAGATTAAGGATATTAGATTCTTAATATTTCAAGAAATACTACATTTGGACTCTACAATTACCTAATCGAAGACCTTTTTACCCTTTATTTACTTTACTTCCACACACAGACGGTAAGCAACATCTACAAATCAACATAAAAAGATCATACTAAGAAGATATCATCTCCTACCATCAGCCAGCAGTCAATGGATATGGGCTATTGACAAAACGATATAAAAATGGGCATTATCATAGATCAACTGAATTAGGACTTCAAGGACATTTACAGAAATCAGACAAGCAAACTTGTTTTTGACATGGAACATATAGCTCCAGCTAAGAATAGAGGCCCTTCATACTTGCCAACCATATTGAAAATACAAGCTTGGCTATCAGTTGTGCATAATGCCTAAATTCCAGTGGCATAAAGTTTTTTATTTATTTTTTAATAACAGAGCACAATAATAATTCTGCAAGCAAGAATTTTGTATACATTCTTCCTATATGACTGAAAAACTAATTGTCAGGAAATATCAATTCAATGGAGTCATAGAAGCTCCAACATCAAACTTATAAAGGAAAAGACCAATGATGCCAAGAAAAATGTGAACATCGTATACAAACAAAAACAGGTCTTCACAAAAGCTGTAATGATTAGACAGAGCAGAGGTACAAGTTTCGCCGCTGAAATTATTTGAAATTCTTACAAGTAAATCATTCTCCAGTCCACGATCAAATTTATCATCCATTACCACTATACAAAATTCTCACATAATCTCTTCTAACAAAATCATGCTGAAAACACACAAACAGAAATACCAAGCTCAGTGCAAAGTAAATATCACATTGTCCCTTACTCCCTCAAATTACTATAATAATTTAAGTTTAAACCCTAGAGCTGCCTCAGTTAATATTTTAGAAAACCCCAAACTCCGAACCCCTCTGGGAGTACTTACAACATGTTAAGAAAAGAAAGGACAAGGCAATCATGTATTTCTAGTGTGTGCAGATTTCTGTTAAGGGATAAAAATTATACAATTATGAAAATGAAAAGACTTTATAGGAGACTTTATTGGAACATAATCAACTTGTGCAAGATAAGAAAGAGTTAGACAAACCAATAAGGTAAAGGAGGGCACAAATGGAAGTCGGGTAGTTGTGCGGGCCAAAACTAACAAAGCAGGTGATGGCATCACAAGCCGCCATAATAAACTTGTGCAAGATAAGAAACAGTCGCACAAACCAATAAGGTAAAGAAGGGCACAAATGGAAGTCGGGTAGTTGTGCAGGCTAAAACTAATAAAGCAAGTGATGGCATCACAAGCCGCCACCGATAACATTAAGATGGGCTATTCCTGAATTATATGTTAAACTATTGGTTTTTATGTTCTTCACAATTGTTCTACTCTACTTATGTAAATAATAATAATAATAATAATAATCATTAACATACAACATTTTTCCCGGCTGGATTAAGCCATTTAATATGATTTCAATCATGATCTTGGGTGTTTCACTGAGTGTCAAGATATCACATAAAGGGAAAACTGAAGTGAATATTAGAGGCATGGTTGTACCATCGTTTAGAATTTCTATTAAAAAATAAAGAATATTTTCACATGTAGCTTCCCCGCGATACAAGATACACTAAAACCATGAAGAATACTCAATAGTGACTGCATGTTCATATTCAGAGGCAAAGACAATAACATAATGCAAGGCAAATTACAAACACTGATATCAGCACATTATCAAAAGAGTAGACACCGGCATCAGAGAGATTATAAAATGAGAAGCCAGCACAACTTGTGAATAATTTCTCGAATCCATTCTATTACCACATATACTCGACATGAGGTCATGGTCAATGTATAATAAACAGGAGAAAGTTTCCTAAAGGCTAAAACTGATCAAAGCTGGGGAAGCTTTTGTTATACCAATGAGGCAAAAATTCTAGAAGAAAATCCGTTTCAAATCAACTGATAGCCAGAAGCTATGTGAATTTCCTCATCCACCACTAACCACATAAAACATCAAACTAATCTCATGACAATCAAAACCGAAACGAAAACAGATCTACAAGGAGATGCATGACAAACTATAACATGAATATAATAAACTCTAAACAGTTGATTCTCACCAGAGGTTTTGTCATGGATGGCGTCACAGGGATTAATTGCCTGGATTGTTTGATCACCAACTCTTCAAGTCTCTGAGTTCCAACAGATAACTACAACAACAAATAACAATGATATGACTACTGCAACAAAAATAACTGAACTTAACATACTCTACGCTGGACCATCATCAATCCCCAAGAAAGAGAGAGACACGATATACCTGAGGGGTGGCCTGAACACGACTAGAACCCTGAACCACAGCTTCGGCCATGTTGAGACTCGTGGTCGAGCTTGAAGCCCCAGAGGCAAAACTCGTAGGCAATATATTGGCTCCATTGCCTCCAACTAACATGGGAACCTCCGCCAAAGCCGATGTCCATTTCTCACCACCTATCAAAGCCGAGGCACCAGGTAAGCTCTGAATGGCATTATTCAAACCAGGAGAAGGAACCCTCCGTACATCAGGAGTCACTGCCCTCTCCTCTGCCCCCAAACTCGGGAAATCCTTCTCGAAAGCTATTTTGTTCACCCCTCCAATGGGACTGCGCCTGGCTGCCACACCATTCGCATTCTTTCCAATGGCATCATTTGAGTCGGACACTACTCGTTTAGGCCATGTGTCCCCACGTTTACCAGAAACCATCGACTGCGATCGCCTTATCTCATCCCTCTCAAATTTACCTACTGAGGTCTTCCTAAGAGGGTCTGAAAATTCATGGTACCTGCGCTCCCCCTTGGCTGACTTGTCTTGGTCGAGATAATCATAGGTTTCCTTCTCCCAGTCCCTGTCACGCTGCTTTCTACCAAAATTACTGTAAGACCTAAAATTACCAGAACTGTTACTGCTCGAACTCCGACGGAAGTACGAAGATGAAGATCTCTCAGAACTCGACGATCGTCCAAAATCGTGACCATTATTATTCACAAAAGACTTGTTCCTCGAAACCCTTGGTGCAGAGTGATCATCTAAAAAGAAAAGAAAAATAAAATTAGAAACCATCTCCAGATAAATTGCTGCAGTGTTAGAACAAGTTATTTCACAATATCTACCTGTATGTGATATAGAACCACCAGCAGCTGAACTTCCAGCGTTTTTCAACCATTCCGGTACTAAGGTAGGTTCACTTCTTTCCATAACTAGTGCTAAACATTATCATACACAAAGAAAAAGGAGAAAGGAACCCAGCAAGTCTATTTGGAATCAATGAAGCGTCACGCTCAGACGCCTAATTGTTACCACACCTTCAGATTAAGATTGGAATCAATTGTTACCGCAGAATTAAATGTTCCTTCAGATTAAGATTACACTTTTTATACCGAATCTAATGACCCATATACACTAATGCCACCTGTCTAAGTCGATATCCCAATTCTAGCACGTTAAAAACTTCGTTTCCAGGATGCCAACAAGAATTTTGAAGCAAATCGTAAAAGTTCCCCAACAACAAAGCAGAAAGATTAAAGAATCTGAACTGTCCTTCACGGGTAGAAATGGTTTGTTCCTCTCTAACTCACTGCACAACTAATATACACTCTGTCCAGTCAATCAAGAAAGCCTCTATGCCTGGAATTGAAGAATTTAATTTTCTGTCACCATTAGCTTCTCAAACAAACAGCAGTAACAAAAGCTTCTCAACGATTCAGTGCTCAAGGAAAACAACCCAGGAGCACTCTCATGTTCCAATAACAGGCAAATCAAAAGTACCCCTCTCAGGCAAAACAGAGAAATTCTTCAAACAAAATCCATCATTAATACCCGAATAAAATTCAAACCCTAGACCACCCGAAAATCCATCCTGCCAATATAAAAAGGAGAATCCCAGAAACTCCTAGGATTTAAAAACCCAAGTAGTATTAAAGAAACACCCAACAATCAGATTATCAAAACCTATCAATGACTTCAAAAGTTATACTAAACCCAAATTCTTGAATTGGAATCACGAACACGAATACCCCGATGTCCCTCTGAATGATAGAAAATAAAAACCCTAGCACTTGTTATAGCCGCCTCGCGTGGAGGGTGCTGTTGTTTCAGGACTCCGTAAAACTCGCCGTCGAAATTTCTGAAAAGCAAAAGCGAATTGTTGTGCGTCGTCAATATTTGCACGGCAATTCGTATACTGTGTGGCGGGTAGTGTGATTTGTATATGTGTGTTGGAGAGAAGGGATGCTTAGATATAGAAATTTTGTATGTATATGCTTCTGTATTTGAGGAAGTTTCTGTCTGTGTGTGTGGGGATGTTGTGAAGAAAGTCTGGTTTTAATTTTTAATTTTATAGCACTATTGCTATTGCTATAGTATTTCCTTTTTAAATTATATTTTAATTATTGTTGCTATATAGGAGTACTGATATTCTAAAGGGCATTACTATTTACCGCCCCTTATTACTATGTACTGCCCCTTTGGACATTTTTGCCCCTGCCATTTTTTTCCAAAAAGTAAAAAATAAAAAAATAAAATTTTGTCCGGCCGCCGAAACCGGACGGCCCAAATGGCGTCCGGCCCCGACGGCCGGTCGTGACCGGTCCGACCGGTCCGACCGGCCGGACACATGTTTTTTTTTTTTTTATTAATTATATATATATATATAATAATATTATTATAAATTATTATGTTATATATTCAAAATAATTTGTTATAAATTGGACATTAGAATAAAAAAAAATCATTAAACTAAAGTTTAGCAAAACAAAAAAAACCATTCAACTTAAAAATGAAAAAAAAAAAATACCATTGATGCGATTTTCGATTGCTCTGTAACACGAACGAGCCTGTCTCTACAATCGAAAAATTATGTATTGATTTAGGGTCTACTAACA